AGTACCTATTACCATTGAGGAGCTTACTATGCCCCATAGTAATCATTACGATATTCCATGGTAGCCATTACCACGTCCATAGTAATACTTACAAAACTTTGGTAACATTTACTATGTGCGGATTTCATCATAATAATCTTTACTATTTTATTTTTTCCATGTGAACAAAACAAAAAAGAATTGAACACCATTCTATGAAACATGAATAAACGAATGATAATTGTCCAAATCATTCTGTATTTCGAAGGAAAATATAATAATTCTACTTTCTTAATATTGTGTTTACCAAGATTTTCGTCAAACAAAGTTAAGTAGAATTAATAGCTAGAATTATGAGATTATTTAATATTTTGGACGTTAATGTTGGGAGAATCTGAATGCGATATAGCGAAAATGATGATCGATTTTTTCACTTTAAACAAATAATATTAATATTCAAATACAAAATTTATATGACTAAAAAGAAGCTGTGAGTTAATATTCCAAACGAAGTTTTAATTTTTAATTTAGTGCTGATAACACGGGATGACAATATTCTAAGCACGGAATTATATTGATGAGATGAGCAACAGATGTGAACTAATTGAATTACCGTGTAAACTACCTAAAAAGAGAGTATCAACAAACGTTGAATTCCAGAAATTCACTCTAAAGTGTGTTCTACAAGGAATTGAATTGTAATTGTGATTACAATCTTATTCTGTGAGAATTGGAATTAGAACACGAGAAAATCATTTATTGTAATATGAAAATTTAGCAACTGATAACAGCTTTTTGGAATAAGAATGATTATAAAAAATTGATTGAAAAAAGGAATATCGAGTCTGACAGGAAAAAGGGCATCAACGCTAGTTTTTTAAATGACTACCCGGAATGAATAATTCTTTGTTTCAAAAAGTAGCTGAAGGCGATAATGTAAGAAACCAGAGATTCAGCTAAAATTTTTCATTGAAATGAAAGGGAAAAAATTGAGAGAAAAAAAAATCCATTCATTTAAAATGAAGCAACATCATCGTGAAAACCAGAACCTTTCATTATAAAAAAAAATATATTCCCCATCTTTTCACACTGATGCTTTTATTCTCCTCGCCGCACTCCGATGCTCTGTGGGTTATAGGACGTCTTCACGGAGAGACGCCGCTACTTAAGAACGATTAATAGTGCCTCGGTGATTAATGGCAACAAGTACCGCACCAACGAGAGAGCGAACGAGAGGGTGAAAAAAAATAAGAAAGAAAGAGACATGAAAAATAAAAATGTATACGTGTGAGGGTGAGATAGAGAGAGAGAGAAATAGTGAAAGCTGTGTGCGAGGGAGCGATCGATACGCCTTCGCCTGTGAAACGTAAAGCCACCAAAAGTTTGTTGGAACGAAAATTTCAACTTGAACTTTGGACGTGCGAATTCCCATTCTACTTTTTTACTCTGTCTCTGTCTCCCTCACTCAGCTTCACTCTACCCCCACCAATGAGTCTTCATGAAACTTTTGTATTCTTGTGCGTAGCGGTATGTACTTATTTCAAAGTATATAGGTACATTTGCAGAATGTTTTCGGAAGTAAGTGGCCAGTACTGAGTTGGCAGAATGGGAATTTAAAAGTTTTAAATAACTCTTTCGCACGAGTGTAATACACTTGCCGGAAAAATATGATTTTAGTTTTGTTGGTGGGGGAGGAATAGGTTTTGGAGGGAATGTGGAAAAATTGAGAGTGACTAGTGCAACCTCTCATTTATTATATTTTGTGGGGGATTGTCTGAGTCACCTTCGACTCCCTATTTTTCTATCATCAATTCACCGGGAGACATCAGTATTAGAAACCGCAGATTTTTGTACGAAACGGGAGGTTGTGATGTAGATCTCTCGTAATTTCATTTTTTTGATTTCGTACATTGCACAAACGACCTATTAAAAACATAATTATAACATTTCTTACGAGAAATCAAATTGTAACAAATGGGAGGTTCTCTTAATAATGCAGAGCCGAACCTCTCATTTCTTATATCATCTCCTTTACCCACTTTTCAATGGGTCATTTCTCTATATTATAAAAATCCAAATTGACTTCTGGTGATAAATTTTGTTAATTGAAATTGAAACTTAAAAATCAAGGGTCACTAGGGTCAAAATAAGGGTTCCGAGGATCATGAAGCTCAGAATAAGGCTCGTGAGGGTCATAATATGGGTTACGAAGGTCATAATAAGAGTGACAAGCGTCCGATTAAGGGTGACAAGGGTCTGATTAAGGATTATGAGCATCAGAATAAGGGTCCAAATAAGGGTCAGATTAAGGATCACCCAAGGTCAGAAAGGGTCACAAATTAAGGGTCACAAAGGTCAGAATAAGGATCATAGGGTTCATATGGAGGTTGGCGAGCGGAGCGAACAGGGGGCGTAGCCCCCTAGTACAATACAAGAAATCAGAGTTGATTTGATTGATCTCACACGAGCCAAAAATTTAAGAAATGGGAGGTCTCACTGAAAATTTCACGTTTTACTCAACATTTTCCTATTAATGCATTCGCAAAATAATACCCAAACCTTCGATCGCCTCTTCCTCTATTTTTCTCCGATCCACCCGCGCCTGCTCCTCCCGATCAATAGAATGCCGCGCGTGAGGAAGTAAAGGGTCGATGGGGGAAATGAGACTACTGCCGACGCGACACAACCCCCCGTGTACTGTCTGCGGGCATCGATCCTCCCCCTTCACCCCTTTCCAATATCACCTATGCTATGTGCGCATTCACGTGCGTGTGTTACCTGCCCCCCGCACCCGCCACCCTTCATTTCTTTTCTTCCCTCAGTCTTTTTGTATCTTTCTTCGCGCGTTTCACTCTTTGTTCATGCAATTTTATTTTTTTTCCCTCCATTCTGATCCCTTCTGCCACACGTTTCGCATTATTATTGTATAGATATTGTACACAGATATATCGGCAAAGGCCCTTGGGAGGTTATTCCTCTTGCATTGTGGCAATAAGATGATGGATCGATTCTCGGTACACCCACCACAGTTGATATAAAAATTTCAGGATCGCTTGTATGCCTTTTCCCTTCTATTTACGTTTTTCGTATGTATTTTCTTTTTTTTTTTGTTTTTTATCACTCGTCTGGAATCCACAGTATTGAATAACCGAAACGATCCATCACTTCGTCCCCAAACTCGACATATTTTATCATATTCTTTTTCGACTTTTTCTGTTGCGAGTCGAGGAAATTTGATATTTCAGATGTTGAACTTTCGATGAAATATTATGCTTTATGGAGCGGGCGTTTTTTCATTTTTTCTACGTATATTGGAACCTCTCGTTTCTTATACTGTTTCGTCATAAGAGACAGAATAAGGGTTACCAAGTTCAGAATCAGGGTCTCGAGGGTCAGAATAAGGATTATGAGAATCAGAACAAAGTTCATGAGGGCTAGAATAAGAGTAAAGCAGATCGGAATGAGGGCCATATATGGGGATCATCGCACGGAGCGAGTAGAGGGGGCGTAGTTTGTTCCATGAAAATAATATGTTTTTATTGGACAACGATATACACTACTCAATAACATGCACTAGATAAAGCCGAAGCCTCATATAATTCTCTAGAGAACGAATGTATTTACCCAAAAAGACATAAATGTCTCACAAAAACAATTACTACTACGAAAATTATCATGTTCTGGTGGAAATTTTCTTTTTAGTCCACAACTAAATTGATTCAACACGACAAGAGATCTCTTCAGGGGAATATACAATTTTTCGGCAGAACAAATTTTTTCTCTCAGTGTACACTGAGAAAAAAATTTTCTAATATCTGAAATATATTTTTTTGAGACAAGTAAATTTTCTTCAATTGCTTAATTCTCTGAGGCATCTCAACTCACATGACCCGAGAAAGGCCTCATGCCTTAAAATATTCTTGCACTCAAGTATGATTTTGTCCCAAATGAACTTACTTAAATCGCGCAGAAGAATCGTCAATCTTCTAGTCTTTATTGTTTTCATGATTTTTTCGTTATGCACTTCCAATATTGCAATTCGTCAAATATTCATGACGTAACGCGGAACGATAGTGATGAATGAAAATTTATTCGAGTTCCGTGAAGTGCACATATTCTGAGATTTAAGCCATTAAAAATAATTTACTTCTCTCAAGAAAATATGTTTCAGATATTAGAAATTTTTTTCTCAGTGTACATTCATAACTTTGTATCGAATCAATTGAACGAATGGATTCTCCTTCAAGCGTGAATTCAATAATTTCAGCAGTTGGCAACCGTCCATCCAATCTAATTACTCTAATTAAGTCCTCGAAATGAATTCGTAAAATCCTCTTCATGAATTCATCAATTGACTATTGATTTGAAATCGATAGAGCAAAATGAAGTCCTAACGAATTAATCGACGAGTGTATTTATAGACATGCCGCTGTATCCATTATTATTAATGAATGCAGTCACCAGTGATACTGTAACTGACGTGTCGTCATACAATAGGTAACACGTAAATTTAGAAACAATGCTGGGGAACTATGATTACGAATGTACCCGCATTATATGGATATAACTATAGGAACAAACTGCCACAGCCGCATGTCCATCCTCGTCAAACTGCTGGTAGTTCCATACCAGCTTTGTTATATCGTATATGGTTGACGAGAAATCAATAGGTGTCTAGGTTTTGCCGTAATATTTTTCAAACTACAAGGTATCGTTTGCATTTCTAAACTCAATATTTGTTGGTAATAGGCAATATTAACTTGACGAAAACACGCTCATTACATTTTTCAACATTTCTCAATGAATGTATTCATAACCAATTCAGCGGTAGGCAATAGAGATGATTTTGACGACAAACCGCAGTATAAGAAATGAGAGGTTGTGATGTATAGACTCTGCGGAATTCCGTTTTTTTTGTATTTATTTATATCAGTAGTCTCTTATATTTAAAAATAATACGAGATAAATTTGAGAAATGTATAGTGCAAAAAATATAAGGAGAGTTGGTTTCTATATTTTACCTTGATGACTACCCGTGTATTTGTTTCGTAAAACATTGATCTGGTGAACCCTTCCAAACTGCTCGAACATCTCCCGAAGATCATTCTCCTCCATGTCGTGTGGTACTTGGCCAACGAACATTTTAATCGTGTCTGGATCGGGCTTCTCCAAACTGTTCTCGATCATGCTAGAACAAAGAGTCAATAAAAAAAGATGAAAAATCCATTTCACTCGTTTAAGCATCACAAGATGTCAACATCTAAAATATTCAAACCATTGAAATCGCTTTCGGATAATGTCGAACATAAAAGATGTTCCTGTTACGTTTTACACCGCTATTGTCTACCAATGACGAAAATAGAATTCCAATGCAGGATTGTACAACAATGTTTCTCCTTCTTCCATGTTTCAGGAATAAACCAGTAAGTTTAACAATTCATAACCTCAATAGTCATCATTTGGATCTTTTCGCGATTGTTATGGGAAACAAATTTCATGTAATGAGAATGTGCTGAAAGCATTCAGGCGATAAGAAGTACACGGAGAGAAATTTTTGATAAAAATTATCCTACCGTTCTATAAAAGAGTCATCGTTTCCTCATTTCTATCCCGAAATTTAGTAAAAATTAATATATGATCAAATTTTATTCTACGCTAGAGAAATTTTATCCTGACGCGTAATAAATTTTACCCTTCCAGTCCAATAATGTTTATGTAGATAACAACGAAAATTCTAGAACGGTTGGTAAATTTTATCCAACCGGTACAGTAATTTTTACTCTACCGGTACGGTAATTTTTATTTTTATCAGGATAAAACTTCTCTAACGTAGAATAAAATTTCATTATCATACATTAATTTTTACCAAATTTCGGGATAGAAATGAGGAAACGATGACTCATGATACACTTTTATAGAACAGTAAGATAATTTTTATCAAAAATTCCTCTCCGTGTAGATGAAATAAGCATCTGAAGAATCGTATTTCAATATTTTCACGCATAATAGCCATTCTAAATCTGGTGACATTCCCAACTTCTTCTCATATTCATTGAACATTGCAACTTTCCAACACATGAATTCCGTCATCCAACTTTCAACATATGCACCGTTAAACTTTTCACATACAACTCCGCTACACATCCCTCCGTCAATACATGAAGAATTGGCGATAAGAAATAGTTATGAATTATTCAGGATCTATTGTTTATCCACACATCTATAAATTGGACGAATTGGCAAATAAAGTTGGGTTAGACAGTATAAAATCGTTATTGTCTTCTGCATCTAAGCTTAGGACATCAGAGGGTGACTAGATTTGCAAGGTAACCTCCCATTTCTCATATTTTTGTTTCATATGAAAAATGATCTGTGATTTCTTATATTTCCGCAACTAACATATTGAGAGATATAAATATAAGAAATGATTATGTTCCGTTTTACTCCGCTATTGTCTATCAACGACAGAAATAGAATTCCAATGCAGAGTTCTCCAACAATGTTTCGCTTCTCCTCAGGAATAAACCAGTAAGTTTAACATTCATGATCTCAATAGTCATCATTTGGATGGGAAACGAATTTCATGTAATGAGAATGTGCCGAAAGCTTTCAGACGATAAGAAGTAGATGAAATAAACATCTGAAGAATCGTACTTCAATATTTTCACGCATAATAGCCATTCTAAATCTGGGGACATTCACAACTTCTTCTCATATTCATTCAACATTGCAACTTTTCAACACATGAATTCCGACATCCAACTTTCGACATATGCAACGTTAAACTTTTCACATACAACTCCGTTATACATCCCTCCGTCAATGCATGAAAAATTGGCGATAAGAAATAGTTATGGATTATTCAGAGTCTATTGTTTATCCACACATCCATACATATTTGAAGGAACTGGCAAACTAAGTTAGGTTGGGCAGTATAAAATCGTTGTTGCCTTTTGCATATAAACTTCTCCAGGGTAAAATAATAATGGCTGTGAACAGCCAGTTGGCTCGTGAAATGTGCCATCGTATAAAACAGGGTGATAAATCTACCAACTTGAGTGTCATCTCCGAGTGAATGTATAGATGCTGCTGTGCCAGGTCAAGCCAGTTATGAGGACTTGAGGATATTGCTTGTGATTGAAAGTTATTATTGTCGTGGTTTTTTTATGCCAGAGAATGGAATGAACTTTGGATTTTTAGTGCTTGAGGAAATCTCGGGAATCTCGCATTTCTTATAATTGGTTTTTTGTCAAAAGTTGCTTCTGGTTTATGTTTATAACCCCAGAGGGTCGGGGGTGGTGGAGATATAAGAAATCAGAGGGTCAGTGGACTTGGAAGAAAATCTCCCATTTCTTACATTTTTATTTCTCATGACTTTTTGTTTCTTACTAGGGGGTTACGCTCCCTGCTTGCTCCGTTCGCTCACCCCCATGACCTTATTCTGACCCTTGTGGCCCCTAATCTGACCTTCGTCTGACCCTCATTATACCCCTCGCGACCCTTATTTTGACCGTCAATTTTGGAGTCTTAATTTCGAGCAACAAATTTTCATCACCAAAAGTCAATTTGGATTTTTACAATATAGAGAGATATTGAAACCCTTATTTTGACCCTTGTGACCTTTAGTTTCTGACCCCCATAACCCTCATTTGGACCCTTAATCTGATCTTTGTGATCCTTAATCTGACTCTTGTGACCCTCATTTGGATTCTTAATCTGACCATCATTATAACCCTTGTGACCCTTATTTTGACCCTGTTGGCCCTTAGTTTTTTATCCCCATGTCCCTTATTTGGACTCCTACTCTGACTCTAGTGATTCTTAATCTGACAATCGTGACCCCTTACTCTGACCCTTGCGGGCCTTATTTTGACTCTTGTGATCCTTGCTCTGACCCTCACGACCCTTAATTTCGGAGTACCAAATTTTTATCACCAGAATTCGATTTGGATTTTTATAATATAGAGAAGATATTCTCACAACTGTAGATACTGAGAGACAAATATAAGAAATGAGAGGTTCTACCCAATCGACAAAAAACCTCTCACTTCTTATATCCTGACTTCTTATATTTCTAGCCCCTCAGTTAAGCGCTTAACGGTGAGACCAGAGGTTGCACTGTAAACCCATTCATTGATGCATAGTCGCGCTTTATAAGTTTAATCGGGTCAATGTTAGAGCCGAGATCACATCCATCGGAATGTTCTCGCGTAATCGATATGAACGATATCTCCATTTCATTCAGTCTCTACCTATTGTTAAAACAAAATGAAAACACCACTGAAGTTCCACCTTTATTATTGGAAAAAGGGGATAGATTCAATCAAGATGCTCATAAGAATGGGTTAGAGTGGAGAGATAAGGACGTATGCAGTGCGTCTTGTCGGAAGTTAATATTAGCCGTCGGGGGTTGAAACGATTTTCCGCATGGGGCTTTTTTCTCTCCCTTCCGCCCTTATTCTTGCCTCCAACACACACATTTCTTCACACACATCGTCTTTATTTACCTTCCGCTCACGTGTACCCAGGTACATGTATGTAAACTGTTTTTTTTTCTAGTTTTTATCCATAAAGGAAATATGTTTCAACACTACGTGCAGTGTAAAGGTTCCGTTATTTTTCCCTGTTGAAAATTGAAAAAAAAAATCATCTGAATGAACTTGAATTGACACAGTTCTCTTCGTAATTAACTCAACTTCAATTGTCAACCGATACAAACAGAAAAATGTGGGAAATTGTTATCCAAACCTCGATCCACCGAATAATTCATTTTACATCTGTATTTCATTGGTATTCTATCAAATAATTCCCGTGTAAATTTAATACTATTCACAGGGGTAAATATTTTTTATACGAAATTCCATTGTTCAATTAGTCTCAAAGGTTTCGAGAGAATACCATCAATTTTATGAATGCAATGTGTTTCAAAAATTCCCGAAACATCGAAATTTATTGGAAAATGCCTTTTAATTAAATTTATAGAATGAATTAAATTCTAGACTACATAATTGTGAATAAAATTGAAAGATGTGGCGCGTCTCACAAAATAATCTTCATTTGAATTCACTTGATGTGATGAGAGAATGAACACGGTTTTCTTTGTAATTAATTCAACTTCAATGGTCAACCGATATAAACAGACAAATGTGATACCGAATAATGCGTTTAACATTTGTATTTCATTTCCGTTCAATCAAATAATTCCCGTGTAAATTAAATACTATTCACAGGGGTAATTTTTTTTTATACAAAATTCCATTGTTCAATTAGTCTCAAAGGTTTCGAGAGAATACCATCAATTTTATGAATGCTTCAAAAATTCCCGAAACATCGAAATTGATTGAAAAATGCGTTTTAATTAAATTTATAAAATGAATTAAATTCTAGTCCAAACAAATATGTTGGATGCACTCATCACTCTCGAAATTCCCGTAATATCGGAAGGAAGAAAAATAACTGATAGAAATTCACCCCATGAAATATATCCACATTGCGCACATTGTGAATCGACAAATGCCTTCACAATCCCAAAGACCGAAAAGTCGAAAGATACCTTTCTTAGATTTCTTTTCGTTCGCCACTCGTTTCGCCGTTATATATGTGGTGATTTCACCAAAGTTACTGGGCACAGTGGAACAATGGCTTCCGTCGTAGTTTCGTATCCAAGTTCTGTTCAGTGCCATTCTTGCGGCAGTGGGAGGCAGGGAAGGTAAAAGTTTGGCAATATTTCAATGTGGTTGTGCCAGTAGCACAGGAAGAAGAGTCGATCGTTTCCATCCATGAGGTAAAAAGAGACCAAATAAAGAGTGAATAACCAAAAAAAAAAACATAAGGAAAATGTTCATCCACCAGGTGCAGAGGAAAATTCAACTAGCCTCCCGACGAATATACGAGAGAATAACGAAAATTAATTATGAAAATAGTCAGAGAGAGAAAGAGAGAGAAATAATTTTCATCACGCAATTATCCCTTAATTGCGGTGTAGATCTACGAACAGATGACTCTAAAATCGTGTTACCAACGGACAAAGTTTTAAAATGCATTTAAAAGGTCATTCAATGGCTACAGAATAACCAAATGGAGAGATGAGAGGACAAACTTTTAGAGAAATAACTGTCGTTAAAATTTCCTTTAATTCTCGTCTTTCTCCTTCACACCTCAATGACAATGAAAAAAACTAAAGTGTGA